ACAATAAAGATTTAATTAAAAAAAATAGTACCTGTCTTATAGGGTCGTTGTGAGGCCTAAAGGAGTTATTATCTGTACCGTACTTAGAACAGTGCTTGGCAAGTAGTAAGAGCCATATAAGGCTTATTATTATTAGTAGTAGTATTATCTAAACACTCAGAAAAAACTAACCTAAGTTTTTGTATATCTGGCCAGACTTTGTATGTATGTGTACATGTGCATATACATACATGTACATACACATACGTATACACTCATGTGGGTAAATATAGATGTATTTTTTATTAAAATTGGACTATACTATTTTTTAAAATTCTTTATTGTTTAAAGTATTACATAAGTCTCCTTTTTCCCCCATTGACCTCTATCTGGTCGCCCCCACCCCCCCAGCACATGCCCTACTGTCTGTGTCCATTGGTTATGCTCATATGCATGCATACAAATCCTTTGGTTGATATATTACCCCTCACCCCCTGCCTTCCCTAATAGGTTGGACAGTCTGTTTGATGCGTCTATGACTCTGTTTCTATTTCTGTTCATCATTTTATGTTGTTCATTATATTCTACAAATAAGTGAGATCATGTGATATTTATCTTTCTCTGACTGGCTTATTTCGCTTAGCATAATGCTCTCCAGTTCCATCCATGCTGTTGCAAAAGGCAAGAGTTCCTTTTTTTTTTTTTTTACCGCAGCATAGTATTCCATTGTGTATATGTACCACAGTTTTCTAATCCATTCATCTGCTGATGGCCACTTAGGCTGTTTCCAAATCTTAGCTATGGTGAATTGTGCTGCTGTGAACATAGGGGTACATATATCCTTTCTGATTGGCGTTTCTGGTTTCTTGGGATATATTCCTAGTTATTCCTAGTAGTGGGATCACTGGGTCAAATGGGCTTTCTGCCTTTTCAGGAGATGTTTCACAAAGCCGAAGAATTCCTATCCAAAACAGCAGGTGGTGAGATGGACGAGATGGACACATCGGATACCCAGTGGGGCTGGTTTTACTTGGCGGAATGTGGAAAGTGGCACATGTTTCAGGTATCTCCTTCCCTTGGACGTAGCAGAATGGATTTAGATTCACTTAGTGTCATTGCCGATGGATAAGATGAGCATAAGCAAACCAGAAAGAAATCAAGCTCTAAGGAAATCAGATAGCTTAACTGAAAGAAAAATTAGAAATTCTTCTAGTTCTTTTCCTTTTCTTCCCCCACGTTTTCACAATAATTTATTTAGAAGAAACAGTGTGTGTTTGCCGTGTGTACAGAAGGCGATTGTGACTGAGAGTTGCACGATAGCAGTACATCTGAGCAATTCCAAGTTTGATTTGGTAGACAAAGAGAAGGGGAAGAGAACAGCCCATATTAAACACCTTCTGTACACCAAGTATTATGTTAGGTGTTGTACATAGGTTTTCTCCTTTATCCTCATAATAACACTGAAGCAGATGTTAACACTCAGTCTTATAGGCAAAGTGAAGCTCAGAAAGTTAATGTATTTTGTCCAGAATCACACAGCTAATTAATGGTTAAGGTAATGATTAAAGCTTGTAGTCTTTTTAAACTTACAAAGCTATTTAAAGAAGATTTAATTTTTGAGCCACTTAGGAAGTATAATTGTCATAATTTGTGAAAATTTTAATAATTTTGGATAAGGCTTAACCAGTTTTTTAAGTTTCTTTGCTGAAATCCTTAAACTATTTTTAACATGCTGGTTTAGCTGTGATTCTCCCGGTGTTTAGGGGACTAGAACAGATGACTAGTTAAGTGTCCCTTGTTTCACCGTTCTCTGTCTCTGAGCACAGTACCACCTCTGTGGCCACGCCATTAAGGTGAACAGCTGTAATTGAAACTTTCTGGTTTGTCTTAAAGCCGGATACCAACATTCAGTGTTCAGTTAGCAGTGAAGATATCGAACAAAGCTTCAAAACAAATCCTTGTGGCTCCATTTCTTTTACTACTTCCAAATTCAGCTACAAGATAGACTTTGCAGGTATGTTGCTTTTTTTCTTAAAGTTGTGTGGTTTTAGTATACGGATATGGTAAAATCTACAGTTCTGAAGATGTATCAAAGATTAGTTGATACATTTGTGAACAGTGAAGTAAATCCTCTTTGTAATACATACAAGTACCTCTATAAAAATTCAGGATTTAAAATCTTGAGCAACACTGTCTTTTTGTAAAGGAGTGTTTATATGCTGAGACTGATGTAATGCTTCTCTTCTAAGGAACACAAACACTCTAAGCTATTGTTTTCCTCGTGATCCTATCAGTCTTTTGAAGTAGATAGGAACCGTTTATTTTAAGGACCACTCTGAGAGGTGAAGTGACAAAGTCTGTGATAATTTTAAGACTGAAGTTCAGATGAATGACCCACCTCTGGGGGTCTTTGCCAGAAAATTATTTCTTTAGTGGACATTGCCTTCTGCCCTTTTTCTGATTTCATGGGCTCTTTCACAGATTAGCCAGCAATCTGGAAATCAGCTGCACTTGGGATTTCGTTCCTGATTTATGGGCATGATTTGGGGTACTTCTCCTGAAAAACCTGTTGGGTTCAGCCCCTTCACTTTCAAACTGCTATAGTCCCAGCTCTTTGCTGCTTAGAGGCAAACAGGACCTGGTTGGGCAAGCTTCCTTAATAAAAGTGCATTTTGGTTATTTCACAGCTCAGTCCTCTAACTGTTCTTCCCAGTGTCTTTATGACAATTAGTAGTGTGTTTCTGTAGGGTAGTGTGGTGAAACCTTAGGAGATTTCCTTGGATGAGCCAAGGCCCAGAAACGGTAAAGGGGATTGTCCAGTAAGAGGTTGATGCAACCAAATCTCTAATGATTATCATCCCCCAAAGCTTTTTTATCGAGAGTTAAAACCATTAGATTCTTACTCTTGACTCACCATAACTTTTTTTCCCCACAGTTATTTTCTTTTAACTTTTTATTGATTAAGCGCAGGGGTCCTCAAACTTTTTAAACAGGAGGCCAGTTCACTGTCCCTCAGACTGTTGGAGGGCCGGATTATAGTTTAAAAAAAACAAAAAACTATGAACAAATTAGGCAAAAACACCCGGCAGGCCGGATAAATGTTTTCGGCAGGCCGCATGGGGCCCGTGGGCTGTAGTTTGAGGACCCCTGGATTAAGGTATTACAAATGTGTCTTTATCCCCCCATTGTCCCCTCATCCCCCGGTCTTGCCTGCACCCTCACCCCCTGTTGTCTGCGTCCATTGCTTATGCTTATATGCATGCATACAAGTATTTTTATTGATTTCAGAGAGGAAGGGAGATGGAAGGGAGAGAGAGATAGAAGCATCAATGATGAGAGAGAACCAGGGATCAGCTGCCTCCTGCATGCCTCCTGTTGGGGATCAAGCCCATGACCTGAGCATGTGTCCTGAACTGGAATCAAACCCAGGACCCTTCAGTCTGCAGGCTGATGCTCTATCCACTGAACCAAACCAGCTAGGGCAACTTAACATTGGATAAATAGGCCATCTGCCCTTAAAGGGCCCTGACATTTATCTTTCTCCTGCAGTCTAGACAACAGGTGTCTGGTAGGCATTTTAATCTGTGTACCGGGGCCAGTTCTGAAGCCATACTGAGACATAACGATACGCACAGACTCATATAGGAGATGAAGTTTGTCGAAGCAGATGATTCAGCAAGCTACATGTTTCTGGAAGAATATTTTCTAGAAAACATATTTTTGCGAAACTTTCTCTCAGACAATACAGTTTATTAAAACTTTTTTTTAATCATCTAGGAGTCATATGTTATGTTGGGGTCAAGTTCCCCAACCTTCAATATAATGACACTGTTTCAGAAGTATACCTATTAGCACTTCATATATACCATTTACAAAATTAGTCCCTGTTCTGCCACAAGCCAATTCAGGTTCTCCCTGTAGAAATGGTAAAAAGTGAACTCAGAGGAAGACACTACCATTTTCACTATGTGAGCTGAGATCTTGCTTTTCCCTGCACCATGGTAACACCAGTGTGTACAGAGTCTAGGAGAATACAGACAGGGCAGAACATACTTTATACAGCATTTGCTTGACGGGTGAATCCCTTTGTTTTGAAATGGAATAATGTCAATTAGATGATAACTGACTAGAATTTCACATTCACATCTTTGTGGGAATGTAGAAATGGGCTTGGTAAGTACTGCCACTGCTGAGGCATAGATGAAAGAAGAAAATAATATCTTTAATTAATTAGCCCTTTGTCACTAGAATCTGTTATGTAAGTACTAGAGGCCCAGTTCATGAAATTCAAGCACTGGGGTGGGGGTGGGGGGTTCTTCAGCTCGGCCTGCACCCTCTCGCAGTCCGGGAACTTTGGGGGATGTCCAATTGACAGCTTAGGCCCTATTCCCTCGAGCCTGGCCAGGGGGCAGCTCCTGCATTAAGCGTCTGCCCCCTGGTGGTCAGTGTGCATCATAGCGACCAGTCATTCCACAGTTTAGTTGATTTACATATTAGACTTTTATTATATAGGATGTATGGAGTCTAGCTAGGTTTTCTATGTTTTGGTGTAGGTATACAATTTAAAGCGAAGGCAAGCAATGTACACATTTTTGAAATTCTGTGAATTGTACATGTTTTATAATGGTAATGTATTTTTTAAAATCATTTCCAAATACTTTGGAGAAATCATGTAGTTTCCACTTAATAAGCATCTAGAATATTCAGTATTATAATTTCTTTCTCTTTCTAGTACTCTTAATTTTCCTAAGTTTAGAATTCTTCTAGTTTAATGTCACTTTAACCTAAGGATTGTATAGGAAAGGATAGACCCTACCTACTGAGCCGCATATGGTATTAGCATTCTTTTGTCTGAGAGTAGATCAAGCAATGAAGCCATCCTCCCTGAATAGCGCTTTTATGACATGATAGATAGGTAGGCAGGTAGTAGATAGGTAGATAGGTAGGTAGGTAGGTAGGTAGGTAGATAGAAAGGAAGGAAGGAAGGAAGGAAGGAAGGAAGGAAGGAAGGAAGGAAGAAAGAAAGGAAAAAGAAAGGA